AGAATAACCAGCAATAATGTTCACTTTAACATCTATGGTCATTTGCGCCCGTGCCAACTATCTTAAGAACAGAAAGGATGAGTGATCAACTAACATCTCTTTAAAATACAAAGAACTGGTGTTGCGACAGAATGGTACTGACGTTTTCGTACTAGTTACTTCTATTATCTCCTCCGTCTGGGCTATCTTTTCTGTTTTATTCCATCCTCATCTCAGCTGCCATCTATTAGCGCCCAAACACATTTATTCACGTTTTCTCAATTAGTGGGTCTCCAATAAAAGAATTAAAATACCTTAAAACCTTAATAATATTGTAGAAGGTTAAAATCTGATCCTGTAAGCACATTGTTACTGGAAAATTTGCACGCCGCTTTTAAGAAAATGTTTGAGCTTTTCTGAAAATGCGCATTTTGAAGCTCACTTTCCCCCATAGTATCTTTCGAGTTTTCGAGAAACTTCACAAGAAATTATGTAAAGCAATTTTTTCAAATTTCAATTTTTTTCTTTTAGTTTTGTCCCGAATAAACCAATGAACGCTGATAAAAATTGCGCACGTCCCATTTTCGGTGCTCTGCAGTTACGAAAATGGCAAAAAGTTGACATTGCAAAACTGCAATATTGATAAAGATTGTTTTCCTTATAATAAAAATCTGTTGTAAAAAATTAAGCTTTAAAGAAGGTTATGAACATTGTTTTGAAATTATGACTGAAAAATTATGATTTTCACACAATTTTTGCTTGAAGTAAATTTATAAAAAACGTCTTAAAACGGCTTTATATTTTTTCTTTTAATACTTTGCTCGGATAGAGCAAATGAAGAAAGAGGACGGTACATTTAATACTTTAATTTTTAACCATTAAGCGATCACATTTGATGATAAATTTAAACTGTGTTTAGATATTATTTTGACGTGGAGATGTAGCTACAATATAATGTTACCTCAGTACTCATGAAAAGTGTACACACACCCTGAACTCTTCCAATAACAAAAGTCGCACGCTCATTTTAAAATTTGCGGAAATGTACAAGTTCCACTTACCCTTTTAACACGCACATGTTCCCACGCAATTGCTTAACCGCTGACTAAGTTCCGTGACGTCCAAATTACTTGTGGCTGGCGCATGTGGAGTACTGCAACCTACAGTTGAGGACTAGGCAGAGACATATCAATGCAACTTGGCAATCCTGCTTTATATCACATAAGACTTCGTTTTCAAAATACATTAAACGACGTGCATCTAAAACGTCTCTAGAATATCTCTCCAGCTTTGAGAAATTTGAGAAAAGGAGCAATCCAAATTCTTCATGGTTGCTCTAATGTCACTAACGATTAAAGAATGATTTTATTCCGCGCTTCTTGAATATACATTTCCAGATAGAAATACCCGTTTATTTATTCATCTGACGACGCGATTCATTGATAACTGTTCTAAGCGAGATCTCTCGTCGGTTGGTATGGCAACTAAGACGTGTTCACAGCTCAGAGCTTTGCTTAAAGCACCACAGTTTGTAGCATAACCCATAGCGCCTTGCTAACAGTTAAATTTCCTCTCGCAAAATAATCTAGTCACACTTTATATGATTCTCACTAGGATGTTCAACACTCTATACTTATTTTGTGAATTTGTGAGATGAAAATAAAAAAAAAGTACTGTCCTCTTTCATTTGAAAGAAAACTTTATGTTATTTATCTACGTAAATATCGCTTTAAAAACCATATTAAAAGTGGAGAGCATTTTGGGGACCGAAATTCATGATTGGCATGTTTCTAGAAGTTCATCCAGTAAGAAATGAATGTGTCGATAGCAAGTCACCTCCATTTCAATCCATGAGCCCTTGGGTCACCTCAACCTCATCATTGACGTCTGGTGATGAAAATAATAATAATAATAATAATAATAATAATAATAATAATAATAATAATAATAATAATGTAGAATGTTAACGGTAGGAGTAAACAAAGAAGTAGGAACCTGGATCCAAAAGATCAAACCATTAACATGGGTCGATGAAAATTGGAATCCAGGTACCCACAGCGGAAAGCTGGGGCGCTGACAACCTCACCAGGTCGTGTAAATAAATGTTCGAAGTACACTGACAAGCCTTCGAAGTTATGCTCGAAACTTTTGCTTAATTTAAAGAGAAGTGTATCTTAATACATGATTGCATTATTGATACTGATCTACACGTATTTTAAAAGTAATAAAATTAACAAAAAATCGATTTAATTCAATTTGATATCTTAAATAACAATTGTAATAGTTAAAATGTGTAGTCTCTTAATAAAATCCAGTAAAATTCGAAATATGTGTAATTTTTTCAACGGAGTCATACACATGTATGTCGGTAACCATTAGAATATACCAGTAGAATCTCATTTTTCATAAAATCCAATTTCGAACTTACATGAATTAATTCATTCAAACGTTACAAGCCATCAAAGTATAGACCGATAACAAGGCTTTTCCGCGGCTTAAGTGCAAAATTGACGCATCCTCTACAGAAGATTGCATGAGCTTTCACGCAAAACGAACGTGGTTAAAGTCTCCCGGGCTCTCCCTATATTGATTTTTTTATTATCTGACCGGAAAGTATGTTTCACAATAGAAACCTTCATATAAGTTCAATAAAAGATCTCAATTAGAAAAACTTACCAATAAACGGAATGACCTTTGGAATATAAAATACCAAAACAACAAATATGTTTCACCCAGTGTGATTATAAAATTTTTGAACGTCATTTTACTGAAATACCCCTCGTTACTGTACACCAACTTGTCTACGTCTTGCTCCATAACTCTTAGTCGTTTGTATATATGACGTATGAAATTGGTAAGTAAGCAGGCTATCTATCACAGGAGCAAACATCTGTTTGGATACATGTAACGAAAAAATAATCAGTACTGATGAAATTGAGGCTACGAAATTGAGTCAATATTTCAACGCAAGTTCGCATGTGTCTTATGTCTTAGGATGAAACTATCATTATTTGGGTAAAAAAGTTTTCGCTTGCAATACTTGGAGTATTCTCTCAGATTCTCCATGGTCTCGTCGGTGCACAATAAAAGTGACAATTAAAGAAATACATTATAGTGTATTTTATTTATATATATTTCACTTCAATAATTCACAAGATATCCAATATACAGAGTAAAACACATTAGGCGAGATATATAGTTTCGCTGACGATAAAAGTCTTCCTACAAAATAATTTTTGAGGTGTGCGACGTGATGAATTTTGAACTGATCAAAGTAAAGCATGACACAAAAAGAGAATTTGAAATAAAATTCAACATGACAAACATCCGGTAGAGGACAGTCGCTTCATGTTAGATAATATTTTACCGGGTGTAGTAACGTATGTAGTTGTGAGTCCATAAGGTGAGCAGCCAACATCAGATATATTCGATTACCAAGATTCTAGTGATGGATTTTCGTCACCTGAGAGGTAGATGACGAAGGCAACTAGTGTATGGATGAATCCAGAGGAGGGGCGGGTATGAACGCGAACGGTGGGGAAGGAAAACAGATTCGCTTCCGGGGCGAAGAGGTGGGCTGTACCGCGGGTATCGGTGATGCGAGACCCGAGACGACGCAACAGCTAGCGCGGACGTGGCCGTGGCCGGAGATACTTCAAATAGACCTTGGGAATGCTTCATGGTGGAAATGTCTTGTAAATCCGTAGGTACATGTCGGTCATTCACTCCCCCCTGTTTCACCAGCACATGGAGAGAGAGAGAAAGATAATTAAAAAAATCCACCAGCGTATTCCGCATAATAATAGTAATAAATAATTTCTTTACCGTTTTATCCTCAAAAGAATTCCGGTTGAAAGTGATCTTTGTACTTTCTTTTAATTTCTTCGAATGTCGTATATCACTGCAACTTTATGCCCATTCCCAAGACTTTAAGCTCTGTTGTAGGATCGGGAGGTATTAGCCGTGTTTTGTAAACAGCGAGTGCACTGCAATTCTGACGGTCGGCTGGCGTGATAAGATTCTGAATACCTCAAATCGGGCTCAATCGCTGGTCCGCGCGTAATTTCGAAGTCGTAATTCGGAATACATCCGTTAAATTCACAAATTTATATTTTTCTTTAATTGTGTCCCAAAAAAGGACATTTTTTCTTTGGCAATTTTTACACGTTTCGTCAGAACTTCGACTCACTATAAGCATAATGTTCTGGACATTATAGAAGAAGAGAAACAGTCGAGTAACAGCTGTGCAGAAACAAAGCTTTTCTTAGCAAAATAACAATATAAATATTTGTTCATCTAAAGAAGGTGTAGATTTTTCCATCTGATATGACTCATCCTGAATTTGTGTGTATGAATGCTTTCCACTTTCTACGGTTGATGTCTAAAATCGAAAGCGAGTCATTACGATGATCCATAGTTTTAAAAAAATCGCTATCAAGATTTGACAATAGAGATGGAATTTCTATAACTGCTACTCCATATTCAGTAGATATTAATACAGTACGTACTGTAGCCCGTTTAAAATTAATGTATCGTAAGTATAGTAGACATATGATAGATTATACTTTGCCACACGTTTATTAAGTATTTATAGCAATTTATCTCAGATATGATTTTTAAACTTCTTCAAATCTTCTGCAAACATCATAATTAATGTTTCGGCCTACTTATGAGTGCGTACAAATGTTTTCTTCTCTGAGGAGAGTAAAATGACAGCACCAGAAGTGGTCATTCTTATGACAATGTGAAATGTTCTCTTCTTTTAAAATAACTCGAACTATTGTTCGGAATATTTATGAATTTGTAATGAGAATGCCGTAAATAAAAAAAATATCCTATTTATATAAGATTTAATTACGAACCCAGATATCTGTATTTTAAACGTGCTTTAAACAACTAATTTTGTATGTTTATTTCTAAGTACACGTTATTCTACATTTAATTGTGTAGTACATTAATTAAACCAGCATGAAATAATATTACTGATTTCATCTTGCTTCATTTGTCGTTCTCTTAGCAAGATGCCAGCGACGTTTCGCTTTCAAATTACCTTTCTTGCCAATTTGCGAAAATTAAAGTTAGAGGTTACTAAACCAGTTAAAAAAAAACCAAGATGGTTTTGGGGCGGGGTGGGCGATGTCGCAGGCCACATTCCCCTGTGTTGAGTGGTGATACTGGATGAGTTAGCTCTGAGTCAGAAATGCCGCTCTCTCTGCAGAGACTATATCCGGCAGGTTATAGAGTTCGAGCCTCGATGGTGACAAATTTTCGACGTCATCTTGATAGCTAGGTCGAATTCAGCCTCTGCCTGGAGGAGAATTCTAGCGGCCGGCTGCTCTGATCAATACCAGACAAATGCCGGAGCAGTAACCTAACAAACGGACCACGATCCACGCGCGATCTTTCCTACCTCTTCCTCACTCCTTACACACACACACACACACACTTACGTGCACTACACTGCCACACATTCCGGGAATCCGGTCGGGGGCTTAGAGCTGGTCTTGGCTGGCGCGTTAGGGGGAGACAACTCGAATTCCATCATTCCGCAGGCAACGAACACCGCCACCTCCCGATCTCTAGCACGCACTCCACTAGTGAAGCAGTATATCGCGTGTGTAGTCTACTACACCACACTGTTCCATGTTGTAACAGGAGGATTGCTCCCCGGAGAGTGCACCTAAGCGATAGTTTTTATCCACACACACACCCCGCCAGCAGACAAGTACGCTGACAGGCTGGCATCTGGATCCCTCCAGAACGCAGTTTACCCTCTCAGTAACTTTTCCATTCAATGCCTGAGTCAGGCCGCTCTGCCAGCACTGCGCTTCCCAGGCTGGTGCCGGAGACGAAACAATGCGCCACTCACAATGTGCCAAGAACACGTCCATCCTCTATGGCCGGTGAGGCGTGCCACAGTCTCGACGAAGCCAACAGCCCAACAGGGGGCCACCCGCACTTAGGCCAGGGTGTCTTGGGGCTCCTTACCCGTATCCTCACTGCAATCACCTTTTATGACGTGAGTACCATTATGAAATGAGTTTCGACGTGAGTACCGCCGGAATCTATACAACCTGACAGGGTGGTTTGTGGACCCCATCTAGGACTTTTGACCGTCTTTCCGAAGGTCTTTCCGAAGAAGCACTTCGCCCGATCCCGCCCAAAGCCCCTACTAGTGGGTTATCGGGCAAACCCGGCAACACGTTGCTTAGAGTAGTGTACTCACCCACTCTACCTTGAAGCTAACGAGATGAGTGCCACCGTGAAACTCAGGGTGCCAAGTTGCTTAGAGTGGTCGTCTGTAACTCTGCACCAGAAACTATTTCCTCCTCTGCGGACTTCCACCCCTGCGAGGCCACTAGTGTAATGCCTGTCGTTGCAGGTGTGTTGTGTTATCAGAAGTGCCTACAGACAATTGCAAATGCTTCCAGTAGAGGATGAAAATATATTAGGTTCGCAGGGAAGATACGTTCTCTGGAGGAGCGTGGTGGTAAGCGAGGTTTCAAGTACAGAGACCAAGTCCGATGAAGTATGAAAAATAAGTTTAATATAAAAACAGATCTGCAGAGCAGCATGAAGTTAATACAACAGTTTCTATGAACTGTGTGTACAGTTATCAACACTAAAGGATCCTTGTATAGAAAACAGGGAATTTATGAGGCCATTTCGTCACCACAGTCTCAATTTCAAAGGCCTCAGATGTAATAAACAAACATTACTGTCCGAATACGTTTGCCCTTTTGAGATCAGTTTTTCATAAGTTTCGATGCTGTCCAGTTCCACAATCTGCCTCCTAGTTAGCGTTCACAGCGGATTCGGAGACCTCTGGTAAATGTTCTTAATCCTCTGATGCAGAAGTAGGGCCTTCGATGCCACGTGGCATTTTTAATTTAAAATTCCTTGATGATGCGGCCCCATAATTTGTTGGTATTTTTGGTATTCTTCAATTGTAATGTAAAGAATGATTTATGTGAGTTTTCGATGAATACGAGTTATTCGAAACCGAATTATGGCTCACTTTTCTTAAATATGCTTTCATCACAGTAATGGGGCCTCCGAAGCCACGAAGCACGCTGGCTTGGTGGAAGGGGCGTAGTGAAATTTGCGAAGTCAGAGGGAAGAGCACGCCTCATGGCCTGAATCTCGCCACGTAAAATAAGGCATCAAATCAATTCGACTCTGATAAGGTAAAGACGCGATATTTCTCTCGCGTACGTGTGTATTACTTGTCTTACGCAATGCTTTAGATACTCTTGTCCGCAGGTGCATTTACCATCCCACTAGCGAAGCAGTTGAAAGCATGTGGCGGCGGTCGGTGTTGCAGGCGCAGCCACTACGAGGAGGAGCGCGAGCGGGGCGACGCGGGCGAGTGGGCGTGCGGGCGCTGGTTCGAGTACGCGCTGGTGGTGGCGCTGGCGGCGCTGCTGCTGCTGGCCGCGCTCGTGCTGGCGCTCTTCTGGGCGCTGTACTACCGCCAGGGCTTCGCGTGGAGCGACGCGCCGCAGCGCCAGTTCAACCTGCACCCGGTGCTCATGGTCGCCGGCTTCGTCACCTTCAGCGGATTCTGTGAGCCACCGCCCCCCCTCCCCCCGCCGCCACAAGGTGGCTCCGGGCGAACGGCGTCCACCGAGGAGCGAGACACAGATCGCCGAATCCAGAGTAGTGTGGACGAGTTGCTTGCTATTTGCTGAGAGACGAACATTCGGTGCTCTCACTTCCCTTGGCGTGTCTATCTTTTGGACACATCAAAGGGAGCGAACTTTCGCCGAGCACATTAGTTACTTTGGATTGGGCGACCACTCGCTCGCTACTCGGCGAATGCCGAATGTGTGGAGCCGCCTTTACATACGCTGTCTCAGAGCAGATGATACAAATTTGTAGGACATGTTGGGTCTTCGAAGATGATCGCTTTTCCGGATGAACATGTGGTAGCAAGTTGGATACACAGTACACTGTTACACAGTAGACATTTGCTTTTAATTCTTAGGCCGCTCTGAGCACTAATGCACGAGATGAGAATTAGGGTCAAATGTGTAACATTGTTATATGAAATTTACCACCGCGTGCTCAAGTAGATTCAAACGCTCACAAGCTTGTATGCCCTAAGAAATGAAAACTTTTATTCTGAAGCACCTGTAGTAATCAATATCAGTAGCCGTTACTGACCAATAATTAACCCAGTACGTTATTTGTGATACTGGCTGTGTGTTGTTAAATACTAGGGCTAATACAATCATCATCTAAGAACTAGTGGTAAGCGGCTGACCGTAGCTTTTCTTCCTCTCACTCAACAACAGCACATTTAAAAAAAAATGTTCCCGAGTCCATTTAATGATAAAGACAATTGGGGGTTAAATTACTTAAACAAGACTGTCATTATTATTCGAGGGTTACTAAACAAATTTGAATTTAAGAAATTCCAGAAATTTAATGAAATTTAATGAAAATTGCGACTAAACCATATTTTAAAAAAAATCATTTATAAGAGCAAAATCTGTAAAAACAAAAATTAGCTACTCTCCAAAAATGTTTAAATATGTCACAGAAGCTTCAAAAATCAAAATATTTGTCGGATCTCAAGAACGGCACAACCAGATCTTACTCCTGAAGTAGTTACAAACTTTAGCTCAAAAGCTTTTAATCTGATTATATGAAACATACCTCCATATAGAGTTTCATTATCTTCTCGCCACCAGTACAAATCTTAAGTATCAACGGAACAAAACTAAAAGACCTGGACGGACAGACGTGTTGACAGATGGACGGACACTCCGACAGCACGACCAGGCAAACGAACGCCCGACCAGGCAAACGAACTCGCAAACATTTATAGTTAGTAAAGCGATTAAAGTCAGCTTTTTAATACGAAGATAAGTGTTTTTTAAACGAAATAATTAGTTAGTGTATAAAAAGCTAAAGTATATCAATCATTTGAAACACATGTGTCTTTAGAAGAATTATCAGTTTTCATAAATATAATTCATAACGTTTTTAAGTTGGATAGCTGAATTCCCTGCCATAATTCAATTGAACATCGTGTGCAGATATTGATAAATTGGTAAATACGTAACAATTCAATTACATTTTCAGAAACGTGTTTATCTCTATGTTCACGGTGAATGTTGTTTCAGAATTTGAATCTCTCATTTCTGTAGTATTGGGGAATAAGTATTCAACGATATTAATCAATATTTTGATGCTTTTTTATATTCTTTATAGTCTATACGTTGTGCTTTTTAATTGTAATTTCTCGGAAGGTCCTTCGTGCAAGTAATTGTAGATACTCAGATGAAAATGATAATGATGATAACTAATAATAATAATAATAATAATAATAATAATAATAATAATAATAATAATAATAATAATCTTCAGATCGGCTTGTAAATTACCAATAGATTCGTTTTTAACTACTTCATTATGACTTTTTGGCGTATAATTTAATCGAGGGCGAACATAATAGGAAGATCGTTCTCTTGTACTAGCGTGTTGCTAGTACAACTCGTTCCGGTATTGAGAGCTTCCCTGCCCTGGAGAGTACCTCTGCTTCCGCGGATATTTTTAGCGCCCTTCAAACGTACTGGCCGATTTGAATTCAATTTCCCATCACCGAACACCAGAATATCCAACGAAAACTCTGAATAGAATTTTCGTACGATAATAGTTCTATGTTCGTACTCGAAAGAGTAGAATGATTATTTCTTCGTCGTTGTCCAACGTGTTGTTCAAAAGTAAAATACAGATTTTGATGTGGCATTGCGATGCGAGAGGATCTACAAATGAGAGTTATTGAATAATAACGTCCGTAATCTGTTGAGGCGAATGGCATTAAACACGAAGCCGCGCTCCTTCACTTACTCAATTGCTCAATCACTTGCTCTCCCGAATGAGCTGTAACAGAAGACCGCTCTCTGGTTCCTGATCGACAGCGCCTTCACCAACATTTCTCAGATATTAGTACGAGGCGCGGAAAATAGGAAATTTAGACTGGATACAGATTTCCTTGATTATTGCGTGAATAATTCCGCCCTCCGTCTGTACGTCCGCCCTCAGTCTGTCTGGCTCTGTCGCTATCGGGCTGACGGACTATGCGGAATTTTGCTGTCAGGCTATTCAACTGTGCGTGAACGCTAAATCAAACTGCCTAAATCACACACGATTTTCTCCTAAATTGACAATCCCCAACCTATATCGATTAACTTGAGATTCCAAGTGTTTGAAACATTTATTTTGAATTTTGAGTATACTTTACATTAAGCTTGATCAACATTTTCGAATTTGCCTCACAAATGTCTATATGTTTTGCGTACTTTTGCGTAGAATCTAGGTAATCGTTAAAGAACTATTTAGAAAAAAAGGTTCCAAATGTTTTTTAAATTTTTCCTCGGATAAAGCAATAGACACTTAAAAAATTGTGTTATCATTATTGTGCCTCATGTTAATTGGCCTCTATTTTTGAAAAGTGCAAAAATATTACTATTCCAAAAGTACAATTTTGATGGTGTATATTTTTAATGAAATATGTTCTGTATAATTAAATCTTTAAAGAACATCATATACATTATTTTGAACAAAATAGAAGTGTTCGCGTAATTTTTGCTCAAAGTTAATGCAAATTATAAAAAAAAAAGTTTCAAAAACCGCTCCTGATTCCATTAAAATTTTTATTTAAATTTTCCCCGTAGGACGCTTAAAATGGTGTAGGCCACATTTTCGCTGAAGTCTCTACATTTTTTTCAGTAATTGTAAAAGTTATAAACAATGAGAGAATGAGTGTGCTGTTGTAGCTCCACTGTGTATTGTTATGAGAGCCACGGAGCTAACTTGATGTGCTCTGTGGTGTGGCAGCGGCGCTGCTGTTCCGCGTGTGCCGCTGCTGCCGGCGGCTGCACGTGAAGCTGTTCCACATGGTGCTGCACGCGCTGGCCATCCCGTGCGTGGTGGTGGGCTTCTGGGCGGCGCTGGACTGGCACGAGCTGCAGCAGCCGCCGCTGCCGCACTTCCACTCGCTGCACAGCTGGCTCGGGCTCGTCACCATGGGCCTCTTCGCGCTGCAGGTGCGTAGCCTCTGCTTGGTTTTGTGGGGGGTTGTCATTGCCAACAACTTTATTTATTACGGCCAATCGCGAAGAAAAATGTTCTGAAAAGAAACGGCGTTGAATTGACTTTCGGGTTTCGTCGCACTGTGTAGACGGCAAATTATCTAGATTTTTTCAGTATTCGGTAACTTGTACTTTCAGCCTAAAATTTGACAGCGAGCGTATGGAAAATACAGCGTAGCGAAATTTGCGTGGTCAGGCGGAAGGGCAGGCCTCATGGCATGAGTCTCGCCACGTAAAATAATGCATCGATTCAATTCAATTCAAAAATGCGAATAAAAAAAGTTTTGAATCAACTTGAACAATAGAGGTCTTAACACTCCTGCAAAAGCGGCTGTGTTTAATTGTTGTTGTTGTTATTTTTATTATTATTATTATTATTATTTATGTTAATGAATATATATATATATATATATATATATATATATATATATATGTGTGTGTGTGTGTGTGTGTGTGTGTGTGTGTGTGTGTGTGTGTGTGTGTGTGCGCGCGCGTGCGTGCGTGTGTGTGTGTCAAAGGGAGTAAGAAGGATAGAAGAGGGACGTTGCACATCCTAATGTCATGGCCACGATCCGCCACTGTTTCAATAGCAGTTTTCGATGGCTTAGCGATCATCATCAGTTTTCTAGTACAAGAAAACGTCCACTTGTTTTCCAACTTTTCAAATCTCGTTTCCCCGGAAGACTAACACTGTTGGCGCGTGGTGCTCGCAGTTCGTGGTGGGCTTCTTCAGCTTCCTGGTGCTGCTGTGCTGCGAGGGCGCCACCGCCGCCTTCCGCGCCGCGCTGGTGCCGGTGCACGCGGCCTTCGGCATCACCACCTTCATGCTGGCCATCGCCACCTGCCTCACCGGGCTCTCGCACAAGGCGTACGAGCTCTACGGGTGCGTACCTCTCTCTCTTTCCCCCCCACCCCCACCCATTGGGCCTTTCGGAGATGCCTTATAATAGTAAATTATGTGATTAGTTTATGATGTTACGCTTTATTGCATGAGAACATATTTTGAAAACTAGCGACGTTTCAAATTTGTAGGAGTGCAATAAAGCAACATTATAAACGAGTCGAATACGCTATTTTTTGTTAAACCGCATTATGAATTTATAGGAGAATCAAACTTAATTTGGAGAAACAACTTTCTTGTGTCCTCTCGGGTATTTGACATCTGGGCGAGAAAATGGTGGTCGGCACTTCCTTTTACCTTTACCGCCCCACGATTCTCTCGCTGCGATTGGCTGAATGTGTGATGACGCAATCGTCCGTGCGTAAAATGCTAATACGTCATCATTTGTGTCATAAAATGTCCAATTATGAACGTCTTCTTACAACAGAAAAGGTTATTTGTAATGCTGGTATACAAAAATAGTATATTATGAAATGATGGGGTATGATAGGTAGAAATACATAAGTTTGATATTTCGATACGAGAGGGTAACGAGAGAGTATCGTAAACTTTACTTGAGTGTATTAATACCCATTACATCGAGTTTCATACGGTACTTTTTCTACGACTTATGGTAACTTTTGTAAGTTAAACGTTTACATTGAATCATATCGTAGCACTTGACATGCAGGATTCAGCCAAGGCCACCTAACGGACAGATCCATACCCTACCCTACAGCAGGTGGCTTAGATTTACCACTAGGCTAGTCAAATATGACCAAAGTGAAATTACGATTCAATTTATTTTAAATAATATTCCACGTAAAAATACTAATGATAAAATAATTTTAAACTGTTCAGCATAATATAATATTAAATGCAAATTTAAATACACAAACGAACGAAACATTTAATAGATTAATTTTCAATGATTAATTGTCAATACTTGCTTTATAAACTTCTCTGTGATTGATCAAGAACCAGTATATTAATAAAATCTGTATCATAATGAGTATCCTTATGGAACGGTTAGCAGCCATCAAATGACATAATTAAACAATGGGAGTACAAAAAATAAGTTTTATGGTACGTTCATATAACATTTTTTGAAACGTTTCATCAAACAAGTGTGTCAAGTTTTGAGTAAAATTGTTTGGTCCCCCTCGGGTAGGGTGGGTACTAACACTTACTGTTTCAACCTCTCATTTTGCATTACGGTAACAATATACAGCGAGAGTCCTGCTGAAGGGCGCTTTCCTCGATCATGCACAGCCAACAATTTCCGTCATTTCAATGCTTCTGTACTCTTACTCTTTCGAGGAGACCAACCCTACGGAATCTCGGTCCGCACGCAAATACGGCGTTGTTAGTTGTCTTTTGAGCTGTGCTGTTTTCTGAATAGCCTTGCTGCCATTGGATTTGGCTAAAGATCATTGGTTGTCACATAAAATTACGTAATCAAAAAAAATTCATAATATTTGTATAATAAACTTCGTATTATACCGTGTAAAAGCTAGATTTTGTTAAGTTTACGTTTTGTTAAACGTTTGATAAAACAATATATTTTACAGAGAATATCACCATTTGCAATATCCAATAGCTCGCCTTCACACGGGGCCATTCAGTGGCGCCAGTGAGATGCACCGAGCTTCTTCACACACAGCCACTACCCAGTGCCACTGAGCGTAGGAATGAAAGGATTCGCAAGCCACGCCGTTATGGGCGTCAGCGATCGCAAGGCAATCAACACAAGACCGCCTTCACACTGAGCCACTCTGTGTCATCACTAAGGTGCACCGGATTTCTTCACACACAGCCACTGCCCAGCACCACTCAGCCTAGGAAAAGGAGGATTCACGAATCACACAGCTGTGAGCGCAAGCGGGCGCAAGGCAGTCGTTATGTAATCAGAAAAATTCAGTGGCACATTCGAGTGACCAAGTGTGAAGGCTGCTAATTAGAACTGTACTCCAATAGCGGAGGTGCAGAAGCGCGTCTGCGCTGCTGGTGGCGGGAGTGGTGCCACTGTCCGCTACTGCCCGCTCGTGGGAATGCCTCCATTTAATCCAATGCTTTGCCAGCGGACGCGGCACTAGGAAGAGCTGCTGAGTAGCTTCACGATCAGGACTTCTCACACACTATGTGGTTCTTTGGATGATTCAAAATGGTCCTCGCACCCGCGAGGTGCGGCGTCTAGAATCGAGGGCGAAGACCTTCTTGAGAAGAGACAATCGCAGTTTTGAAATTATCAACGAGATATTGTACTGGCCGTGTCAAGAGTCAGAGGCTAATGAATCTTATGGAGAGGATGAATTGTTCACGTCATTAACAAGCTGAAATTATATTACCGTTCGGTTAGGGTTGCTTAATGTGACACCCCGTATTCCAAACGCACGATAATGCAGACGGAAATATGAGTCGGAATGTTAGGCAGTCAAAGCTTAGCTACAAACTTTCGCTGCGTACAGGGTCATCGCTTGGGTACAGAGGTTTTCCCTTAGTAGCGCCAATTTGGTGGCTTCTGGTCATATGAATTGACAGTGTTGGCATCGGGAGACGGCGCAACTGTTCTTCTCTGGTTCGATTTTGCAAGAACAGAATCGCACGCGACTGATCAAATTGTGCTGGCTGCTGATGCAGCCAACTTTGGAGGTCCGAAAGGAAATTTAAAGAATCCTGTCCACGTACACAAAATTAAGGCGATCTGTCTTACACTGTTTTATTGAAATAAACAAACTTCAACGCTGATAAATTGAAATCTAGTAGCAGATCATCACAGGTTTTTCAATATACGAGTGTCCTGTACCATATTCAATCATGTAAATAGGCCTTTAGTAACTACAGTGCCACAATGTTTGTGCTATTTAGTGGTTTAATATTGTTGGGGCCTAGACCCACCTTGAAAAAGTTCTTCAACAAGACATCAAACTGATGCCTTCTTCTTATTGACCGATCTTCACTCGTAGAAAAAGTAAACATATTGAATTTGCATGCATAGATGTTAAACAAAAAATCACGTTCCATAAAAATGCTAGATTAATGGAAGAACACTAAGCCCAGCATTCGTATGAAGGTTCGCTCAATCAAGAGGCCAAACATGCCGTGCTCTGCCTACTAATAGCAACATGCAGCGTGTTATTTGCTACGAGAAAAAGGTCAAACATCATTTGAAAACTCACCTTTGAAAGATGACCTGATGAAAGATGATCCAACACAAGGATTACCTGTCCAAATGATTCACGTGTCAAGACAAGCATCCATGAAGCAATCTTCGCTCATAAAACAAAGTGCGAGACTGTAGTTTAAATGGTCTGATGTGCCTGCTCGCGAAGTTCACCCTGAAAAATCTCGCGCTTCTTCATTCACACCTAATGAAGTTGCAGTTTACGTCCGTGGAACTGTTAGGTTTCACGCGGTAACTTTACTTTGCCGTCAGTTGTTGTCTCCGAATACTCAAAAGCGAATATCAAGCTTCTCTTCACGGCTGCTGTTATAGCTTCTTCCGCAAAGAGTTTGCAAGCGACCGAAACTGAAGGATTTGACGTGATCTTTTAATTGATAGAGTGAAAGGCACTATAAAGTCGCTGAATCTTTTGTAAACACTGATGTTGTTTTCAGGGTGCAAGCGTTAGAGTGGGGCGGTCTAAGCTTTGATATAATCTTTAAATCTCCAACTAAAGCTCCTCTCGAAATTTAAAAATCGTACTTAATGTTGAATGGTATAATATATTTTATCGTTTTTTCTTATATCCGTTGTAAACTCGACTAATTTTAGGATATAAAACGGGAATAATTTAATGATAATGCAGAATTTTACAATGTTACTTGTTAAATCTATTTCAAAATTCTTTTACGATACAAAGTTATGCAAAAAGTTACATAAAAATGTCTCTAACACGTTGGTTCTAAATGTCATTGCGTCATGTGGAGGCAAAGCAACCTAACAAACAGAAGCATGTTCATACTCTGCAATTTGAATATTTATGCTTTACAACTTCGTAAACCATAATTTATTTCATTAGCAACAAACAACGGTTTTATTAACTAGTTATTAAAAAAATAATCCACGGGTGAGAACTTTATTCACTGTTAATACAACATAATTTATGTGTAGATATTTTTTACGGCTCCTTGGCCGCTATGTCCTTAAAACATTGCCGACTTCGCAGCGATGTAGCGATCCGAAAATGTTTCGATTGAGCAGCTCTGACGCAGACGCCACGTCAGAATGGTCTTTCCCTGTCCCACCATTACCACGCACACCAAAAAGGATATACTAATAAAAGCGGCCATAGGCGGCCTGATCTCGAAATAATGACCTGCCCATCCACGGTGGCCTAAACTTCCCAAATGCGGGGGAGGGGCGGACCTATCTATTACTCCTATTATCGTGTTCTAATGTTTAAACAGTATTAATAAGAAATATTTCTCATGAAATTCTTCATTCTTCCTAACGTAATTACATTTTAAGATAGAAAAGTTACATAGATTGCTGAGCAAAGATCTTTTGGGCTGACATGTATTCCGTTTAACTACAGATAATATTAAATCAAACAGAGAATAAGGTCGATGAGAAAAGGGGGTACATAAATATAGTTCACACATACACAATTATAGTTCTAACTAATTTTCTTTAGTATTGAAAACATTCAGTGTCTCAATGGAATTAATTGTAAATAAATTAAGACGTAGAAGTAATTTTAAAATCGGAAGAAATAAAATCATTACAAGAAGACATGGAGTTCGCTGAACACTACACCTATTGCTTTCTCAGCTATGAAATAATGTATTTTCCGAGACTAACTTTCTTGGCTTTTATTTTCATTATGAGACATTCTTAAAACTATTACAGTGGAAGTGAAAGTTTCAGACTTGGTTATGGTACAGCCTCACTTACTTCTTCTGAGAAAATGTATTATTTACCACTAGTTTTCCAAACTATCAATATTTCCTTGAGAAAGTGCATTATCACTAGAGATTGTATTCCTTCAGTGCCTTACAGTGAGAGAGCAAGAGCAAACATGCTCATCTACCAGTGTAATTTATTTGTGTAAGTGTATAATAGAAGTTCAGAGGTTTGGGGTGCACATAGCGTTTAAGGCCCTTGTGAGTGCAGCAAATTGGATCTATTGAGTTGCATTGCATGTTGTGTACCACTTTGATTATGCATTGCTGATAAAATTGTTTTTATTAATCAAAAACTAATATGAAAATTATTTGACATTTACATTTTTAAATGCTAGGAGTATCATTATTATGGTTTGTTCTCTTCTACTGGGAGGGAATTGGTAGAGATAAGTCATCAATTATTTCTTTGCACATCACTAAAGATATCTCTAAAATAAGTGAATCACATTAAAGTTTACACAATGTTTTACATATTTGGAAGTTTCTTTAATTTATTATATGTTTCATTCTTTTCAGGAAAGAGGAATATTTTCTCATTAGTCAACTGATTCTCTTCTAATGATATGTATTTGTGCCTTAAGTCATTATAGTCATTTCATAAATTAATTCTTGAAGAATTCTCACTAACTGCTGCTATGTTTGCCACTGATACCTTATGTATTTTTTTTATAAATTTCTTCAGGGCGGGGCAAGGCAGTCTAAATGAGGAGCAACTGATCATCAACACCATGTCCATCGTCTTCTCACTGTGTGCAATTGTTGCTGGTTATGCTCTCATGCGAGATGACTTCAGACACCATGGTCATATTTTAATAGATTCCGATGGTGACTTGTAATACAACAGTTATCTTCAAAATAGCTGAATGGAGTTACATACAGCAATTGTGTTTGATGCACAAGATCTATTCATCTTTTATTTCAGATGTTACAGAGCATGTAGCATATTAAAGTCATAATGTGTTTGCAGACTTCTTAAAAAGCCATTTCTGCATTTATATATTTTTGATCATCATCGTGACTGACTTAAGACTTGACTTTGTTGAATTAAGATACAATGTTTATTTTCTAGTTGAGGATTAAGGATGCAAAGCAGTGAAGTAATTGAATCAAAAGATTTTGGATATAAATTTCTCAATAATAATGAATTGATTTATTTTTGCAGGATTATATGACATGTGTTTATAGTTTAGAATGTGTTGATTCTATTCTTGCCTTTCAAAAAGGTTAATATTTTTTATCAACAAGGTATTGAAAATTTATTACAACTAGTGTTTCATGGTTTCTCTCAAATATTTGCACTGTTCAATAATTAATATGTTAAAATAATTTTGAAGTTCATGTTATGAAATTATATTATGAAATATCTTCCTTAAAAAATCATTGTTGTCTGCAAATTAATAAATTTTTTCTTACATATTTATTAATCTTTTTTTCTTTATCAAGTGTGTTTTTTAAAATAATATATTATAAATTTCAACTTAGCCTGGAATGTTTCTAACTACCACATAATTCTGATAGAGCTGAAGTTCAAAATTAAATAAATACTTTCCCATAATGGTCAAAACTGAAATAAATTATTAGTGATTTGCATATTGTTGTGTGGTAGTACTAGTGTTTTGAGATGTCAGGCATTAGTTGACTTGTAAACTATTCAAGAATATGGTAATAAATCAAAAGTACAGAAATATACATGTATATGATTCAGAAGGTGATAGGTACCAAGGAATATTAACAAAAGTGTTAGTTAATAAAAAGTTGCATTAATTGCCATTAGTAATGCTTATGCCAATGCAACAAAGACAGACAAATTGTAATAGAATATTCTGAGATCAAATATATTTCATGTTTCATTGTATGGTCACCTTCATATTATAATGAAAATTTAAAATTTTTATTACCAGTATGCTTCTTGACGTCGTATTTTATTTCTGATGTCCTGTACCAGCTTATACCTACTCTCTGGTATTAAGTCAATTGATAATTACCTTTCTTTGCCAGGTGGTGGTTGTGCATATGCAGTGAAATCAATATTTAGAAATCAAAATCTCCGTAGCATAATTATTGCATGAGTTTTTATAAACATTGCATGGATTAAATATTCTTTGTATATGTAATATTTTTTATTCTTGCAAACATTTCACAGATGCTATGAGATTGTTTCCAAGCACCATACTTTAATCTTTGTAGTCTTTTCACAGATAAATTGTGTTTTTATTATCGAATTTTTAATGTTTTATGACATATGTGATTCCAAATATGTTTAATTTCCACTACAGTAGGACTTTCTTTCTTTAGTAGCTATACATATTACAAAAATTCAGAACTCCGGAGAAACTAATTCATGATGAAGTTATTATTATAAATATTAAATTTGTGAGTTGGACATATTGTTTTTATCTACAATACATCCTGAAATGTTCTTCGTTTAATATTTTTCATCATCAAATTTCATCAATTTAAGAGTGAAAAGGAAAAAAAAAAAGGAAAAAAGGGGACAAGGGGACAAAGAAAACAAAGCACAAAATATATTTTACTATTTGTGCTTAGGCCAAGGCTCTTCCAAAGTAAAAAAAGATCCCTGAACAAGTATCCGAGATAATTTTTCTATGAACTCAAGAACATGGCAATGAAATAAACATAACTATATAGCAATAGTTTAGATAATTTAACCCATTTGCCGCTGCTTTCTGCAGGAGGTTTCCTCTCAGATTTAAATACTTTGGTCTACCTTCTTTCTGCAGTAGTACTTCAATTTAAAAATCATGTAAGGACTATGAATAAGATCACCAAATTTCAACTCAATGTCAGGATACACACTAGAATAAGCCATAATAGAAATGTGTTATGTATTCCGTGTAGAACTCCATTCTTAGTCACTCATGTATGGTGTGCAAACCCAACATATTCGCGTCTCTGAGACGTCAAAAGGCAGGAAGGCTATTCTGCACCAAGAAGTGTCAGAGACGTCAAAATTTGTGAATGGGTTAACAATAAAATTATAGAACGATGATAAATGTTACAAATACTTTTCAGTGCCTGTGTACTTCTACATAGAATGTTCAATGTTTTCTGAGTTAGTTGATAAAACAATTTTTCTATGAAAAGCAGTTCTGGCAAATTATTTTTATCTTAGGAAAAACTGTATTTTCAGAACCAGTTAGAAAAGTCAGTATTATTTTCCAGTTTGTTCTTGAATTCTTCATTTTTTTGAGCATTCAGTATTTTTTGCATATAAAACTACTTTTTTTCACAAGAAGAAGCTTTCCACACTATTTGTTGTGAAAATATTTTTTTTTAATATAGAAGAAATATTTATTACTTATTTTTATTAAATTGAATAAGAAATACTATTTTATTTGCATTATACCTAATAAAAGAATGTGAGGTTGCTGTATGCAGGGACAAGAAAAGTTTATTAGTCGCCGATGGCTAGCTGAACAACTTCTTCAGGAATGTCCTACCATTTTTCTTCAAGTTGTCATTTTTTCTAATAAATTCTCAATTATTGTGTTAACACAAAGTTGTTCCCCTTGTTTCAAAATTGTTTTTGAAAACCTCTTATAAGAAAATAGATTGTCAATTAGGCTGGAAAATGAATGAATTAAATCCTACAAAATATTCTCTCCAAGGCCTACCCTGTCCTGCAAAGCTTAATGATGTTATTAAATTAATAAAAAAATATCTTTGTTGAAAATTGTATGCACTTTTAGAAATGCCGAATACATTCCAGTGAATTTTTACACCATATTCAAGATATTTGCAATAATCTGCAAAAGTGCACCCTTAAATTTTGTTTAAAAGGTTGTTAAGAGAGATCGTGGTAGTTTTTATATTATCTTACATAAAAAATTTTTTTCTTGAATGTAGTGTTGTTTACAAAATTTCATTTTGGTCACAAATAAAGCATATGATTTGTGTAAACACAAGCAAACATTCTTCTTTGTATAACAGATAACAATGATGCTAAAAAAATGTAGCCTAAAGTATGCCAGACAAAATACTCTACCTTACAGTAAGAAAATCATCAAAATTGATTTTGCCATTTCAGAGATTAGCGTGAACAACTCAGCCTGCCACACCAACAGATATTGTAAAAATAATTGAATGGTTTTCAATCTCATGTAAATCACCATATAATATTATAAAAAGGCAGTTATTTTGAAATCAACTGATGAATTTTATTTAAAAGCTCATGCTCATACTATAATGTTTACTAATTCTTATTGTTATTAACAATTTTATTGTTATTGTTATTGTTGTTGTTGATATTGTTTTGTTATTTTCTTTAATTTAATGGGGTACATTCGTACACCCTCAATAGTATTGAAGTATTATGAACAATCAAAGATGAGGACAAATCCTCAATTTTGTTTTGTCTGCTAGAGATGTTTTCTGTGCCAGAGATGAGGGTACAATTTTCACAAGCTTTAAATACTTTATCTCTTCTCTTGTATTATTTGTAAATATGATTTCACTTTGCACATTTTTAGAAAGAAAGTCCTGCACCTTATCATTTTGGTTATGGGTCTGCTCCAATAGCAATTCAAAAATGTGTAGAAAATGTTCTTATTAAAAAAAAAAAAAAAAAAAAAAAAAAATGAATATAATTTAACAAAGAGCATGTATCTAAAAAATAATGTGTTTTTGAATTAAGCATTAACTAAATGAATGCTGCTTTCCAATTATGGGAAGTATTCTTCATAATAAAATTATTGAAATTGTGTAGTTAAAAGGTGTACATATTGCCTGCCCTTCTGAAGTACTATGAATGGTGCATGAGGTTGATGTGTTCTTCTCTTGTGCTTTCAGTGCATTCTATCCAACAAGTTGGTCTGAGGAAGGGATAATCATAAATGCCTTGGCTATGGTGTTGGTAGCTTTGGGAATCCTTGTGTCGTACACAGTGCGCAGAGAGGGATCACGTGGGGAAGGCAAGACCTTCCTCTCGGAGCGGCTTTGAGAGCAGCCTTGTCTACCACATACCTCATGCCTGCTGTCTGCCAAGCTTCTAGATTCAGTCCTTAGACTATCAACGAATATATGTATTTATATATATTTAAACATACTTAAATATATATAAATTTTTATGAGAAGCCTGTGGATGAAGACACACCATAAGAATAGGTCTACCCAAACAGGCTTCTTTGGTGCCAATTTGATTGACATGTGTGTTGTTTTCATTTCTCTTTACTTTGAGTCATTGTGAAAGTTAACACACTGAAGATATTGACTAGTACCTGAACATTTGTGAACCTGCTTCAATCTGTTAGTTAAAAATAATTTGAAATTGAAAATGCAATTATATGCTCAAAATAATATATTGTTATGTAATAGAAAGCATACAGATGTTTGATTATGTTTACTCTATATCCAGCAATGAAAAAATTATTTAAAAAATAAGATTGATTGTATGTTGAATAAAATTGATCCAATGTTCACTTAATTTCTTGACAAAACGAACATCATAATAAAAAATGTGGACAAATTATTAATTTGAATACATGTAAATTAATGTGACTGGTTTTAAAAATTAGAAGTAAATGTTTTCAGTGTCTTATTGTAATGTTAAGAGTAATATGAATTAGAACATTCTTGAAGGGACTTTAAATTTTAATGGCATTTTAACATTCCAAGATTGGCAGGGCTGTAAAAGTTCATTGTGTTGACATCACTCATTTTGTATACATTATTAAACAGACTACAATACTATTATCTTTATCAATTTTTTCTCTAATTAGTCTTCAGATGCCTGCCTAGATGTTATGGTTGTGATAATATCAATGGCATTTTTATTTCTGAAGGGTTCAGTTAGTCTCTGTGAGTTAAAGTTTCAAGTGTAAATAAAAACAAGAGTAACTGGTTTTAAATCTCAACTAGTCATGATTTCTGAGACAGAGCTTGCAGCCCTGATGTACAGTTTCTTCATTGTGACTTATAATTAATTCAAAAGAAATAACAATTGACTACCTACATTCCTGTCAGAATTTGATATGTCCTGTTTCACTATGTTTTGTAACAAACATTTCTAGCAATACATTTTGAATTAAGACATTTTAACAATTTTTAAAAACAATTTAAAAATCTTTGATATTATTGTAAAGAACTGTGTATATTTTGACAAATGTATTTCCTTATTTAAATAGTTATTCACTGTCTTCAATTGAATAGTTAAAAACATTTCACTCACACAAGATATTATCTTTCAACAACAAATTAACCAAATTTGAAAGGAATAGCAACTATTAATCAGGCATGGATCCACAAGGAGGGAAATTAAGGAAATTTCCCTCCCTACAATTTTTCAGGAACTATTAATTTTAACTTGTCACAAAACTTTCAAGCAAAAATATTTTGGGATAACCATTAAAATGAGTAAAATTGTATTGCAGCATGAACTGAGTGTAGCCTACGAAATTTTACACAATCTGTAATAAGACGTATTCAACCAAAACATTTTCAATTTCTCCTCCCAAAATTCGTTTCTGAATCTGCCTCTGTATTAATTTTACATTATAAAGATAATTGTTTTAATAAATTTAAAAAACACCAAAGAACAAAAGTACCGTATACTATGCACAATTATACTGCCATACTATCAATATTTTATATTTGGGACCATAAGCATTTAACATTTTACACTGGAGCAAATTATAGGAAGTGAGTTCATGGGACATTTTCTGAGCAATTTTCTGGAAAAATGTTTAGCCTACTATAATTTATCATTGATGTGACTAACAGTATATCATGACTTTATTTAATTAAAAATATAATTAATTCTCTAAGAATTGGAAATATAGTAGTTTATTCTATTTATACCTACACTTTTGTTCCTAGAGTTATTCTTTGAAAATATACTTATTCTTTGAGGAGCTAGTACTCTCACTGTTCCAACAGCGAGGGAAGTTTGTTGTAAAACTTCCAAATAGTCATAAACTTTATAAATATATACAATCATACTCTTTGCATGAGAAATAACATGAAACATTTTAATAAGTGGTTGTAAATAAATGTAAACTTAGACAATGAATTAGTGATAATATTCTGTTTCAATTCTGTTTTTCTAATGCCTGTCTTTTGACTGTTTGTATTGTCTCTATGGTATGCTCTGTAGCTGTGTGCCTTAAATGTGTTCAATGTATTGCCATTATTTGCTGTTTACATAACAATTTTGAGAATATATATATACATGATGCTCATTGTTCATAATCTCAATTTATAAGTGTTTATATCTAGGCAGTTTTAAGGAGCAGGATGTAGAATTGTAGTTCAGTATCATAATTGTGAGCATATTTTACTGTATGGTACTTTGTCAATAAAGAATTCAATATGTAACATTTTAAATAAACATTTTTACCTTGCTGCTGTAACCTTTTTTCAAAGAAAAGGTAATTTTCAAATATAACATTTTTGAATTCCTGATTAAAATGAAATAAATGTTTAACAAAAAACATACTTTTATGACACATGCAATACATCAGTTGTTGGAGTATATGATAAGTCAACAAATTTGTCAACAATAACCAAAGCTTGACAACTATATATTGATGAAGAATTTATAGTATTGTACCCTCAATGACTCTTTGCCTTGCATCCAAAGTCCTTTGCAGATGTTGATGCAAAACCAGTGAAGTTGTTTATTAGATTTACATTACCGTTGACTGGAAATTAATCCTTGTGCATTGAGCAATGAGATGTGTATATTTCTTCACAGAAAAGGATTTGGAGGAGTGAATGGAACATGTTATTCAAAACATTTTACTTAATACAATTCTTTTCAAAAATATGTTTTCAAAATTAATCATCTCCTTTCCCTCTTTCCCTTTGTCAGTACACTTTGAACCTCAGCCCTCTTCTTGCATTAAAGTAATAATCATTAAAAACTGGGAGAAATTTTATAAATTTGTAATTCAATTTTTTAAAGAAATTTCAATGTACATTATAAACGAAATAGAATATTCATTTATAGCCTTGTATTGTGTAGAAAACAAGTCTAGGTTGACAGAGACAGTCATGAGGCAGAAACAAATGTTTGAAAAAAATAACAAAAATGAATAAATTAATTGCAGCAGTAGAAGGAAGCCAGAGTATGCCGTGGGCAATGTTATCATTAATTCTATGAATATTGGAACTTCCCTGAATTTGTCTGTCATTAGAGTCGCTCATCAAAATTGTCTTTATCATTTGTTATTACCATTCTGAAGTTTCAGTGGTCTCTCTGGGCCTACAGTAAACATGTTCATGTATTGAAACTGGGGTCTAGTGAATATTTCAAGGAGCCCTAAGCGTGACTGAACTATAGAACCCTATTATAATATTGAACATAAACAATAAAAATGTAACTTGAATATAAGTGTTTATTGAAAAGTAACTTTGTACACAAATATCGGGTTATTTTCACAAAGGAACAATGTCAGATTTTAAAAAATTATTTTTTAATGTTAATTGCCTTCAAATTATATATGTACAAAATATTAAGCATTAAATAATTAGAAATATTTGTAGAAATATCTCAATTTTGTGCAACTTCAATCTGTTAGGTTATTCTAATATATAGCATTAGTAATTGAGTAACCGAACAAATTGGTTTATATCTAATTAAACTTCATTGTTTTGACTCACTGGTAATACGGTTCTGTCATTTTAAGAAGTATAAACAAATTCAGAAGTAAAGTGTTTGTAATGGCATGATTGGCTTTTCTTCACACATCACCTCTTCTATCGTATCGTGTTGTTGTTGGCCAATATGGGTGGCAGAGAAGCAAGTGCTGAATGCTAGTACTGAGTTACTTTGTCATTTTGTATGAACTCTTATGAAAATTACATACAAAATATCTTTTACTACATCAGAACATGACATGCTTAAAATCAACACATTATAAGTTTGCCTACCCAGCAGGGCAAATGTCACAAACTTTACTTTATTATATGAAATTTCCTCCACATGCTCATTGGGAAAAAAAAAAATTGTTTGACCCCTTTGATGCTCTAGAAGTTTGTAACATTTATTCTGAGTCATTCTTTATGAGTGGGTTCATTTATGTTAGCAAACAATGGTTTCCTTCTTTCATAAACCACAAAAATTGTCTCTGTTCACAATTCAAAATGTTCTCTCCTTCTCATTCCAAATACTTCTTTTTCCAAATATAAATACATTTTTAATGCAAATATTAACAAAAACTACTATGAACTAGTTATGAAAAAATATTAATAGAAATTCATCTAATTTTAATTTAATAAGCGCATTTAATAATTGTGCATTTTCATGTATTTTATGCTTCAACCAAACAGTCATTTGGGGTGAATTTTAGACCACGAAGGGTGGCTTTGCACCATGCACCACTTCAAAGAATGTGTGTTAAATTAAATGTTGGCAAGTGTATTTTCAGTTGCTTTAGCCATTAGTCAATTCTAGGTATTTGAATACACCAAATCACAGCATTGATCTTCTCGTGCTTTTGATTATTATGGCTTGAGCTGACAAGAAAAATAGTTCAATTTCGACATTTTTTTAATACAAGAGTAACCCTCATAATTATTTTATGAACGTAATACATTTTATTCAAGTGTTGATTATATAATAATTATTTACAGTTTACTCATACTACTTAACACAATAACGTCAATTTATTCGCATCATTTATTGTACCAGATCGTAATTTTAAAATTGAGGTGACTTTGTACCAAGGAGAACAATATTTCAGATATGGTATAAATTTTAATTTTACATAGATTGAGAGTTTTTTTTTTCTCGTTCTGACCACCCTGCTACGGGGTAGAGATCACCAGAAGAGTCTTCCTGGGTTTTCGGTTGGCCTCTTAGCCAAGGACGCGGCGTCACCCAGACAGCCAAGAAGACACGGACTCGAGTTGTGGAAGCTTACGTTTTCTTTTAAATCACTAGAAGAGCTAAATCATCACTCAATTATTCTCTCCACCTGACCTCCGCATGTTTCCCTACATCTTATGAAAAGTCTTATCGAGCCTTTGAACCGCTACACAAAGAGGAGGCTTTGGGGGGTGGGGTGCAGTGGGCGATTTTGCATCTTTTTCAACAAAACTCCGTCTATACCAATGCAGGGGCAGATCCAGAGACAAATTTTGGTCGATTGAGTCATATTAAGTATTTTATAAAATGTCGCAGGGTTCTTTCAGCTCATGCTGCTATTCAAGTTCATTCCTTTTAATGATTATCCGAAAGTATTTTTGCTTGAAAGTTTCGTGATTAGTTAAAATTAATAGTAACTGAAAAATTTTAGAGGGGGAAATTTCCCTCATTTCCCTCCCCGCGGATCCGCGCTTCATCAACGCCATATCAACAATTTGATCTCATCTGAATACTATAAGGCACGTGGCTGATACTACTGGCGCTCCCACAAAATGCATGTTCACCGGGTTGTTTTCCAAATGTTTCCTCACTCAAAGGTTCCGTCACCTATGTGTTTCCCCAAATGTTCCCAGAATTATTCCCGCAGATCTTCCTGACATGTTTACCGCATGTTCCTGCACTTGTTAATGTGAAATTAAACTACAAACCCCAAAATTTAATTTAAGTGTATTTTTATTACGAAATCGATAACGATTACGGTGTCTTACAAAATAATTCGATGATGTAATTTGCTTTTATCTTTCATCTACTGCCGAACTCGAATTTTAGTATCTGGCATTCATCCAATTTATTTTTTATGAAACAGAAACCCAAAGTACGCATAAATAAGTGATTTATTACTTTCAGCGATTCCATGATAAATGACTTCATGATAGGTAACTTTGTGTGAACGTCGTTAACGTCCTCATGGCGGTGTAGGTTCTCCATCCAGGAACCAGCCGTTCTGTACCCTGTGGACAGGTAAATAAAAAACCTCTTACGTCCAGAGAGCAACAAAATTTGGCGCCTTTGGCTAATTTCGCCTGCCGCGTCGCGGTTGCTCGTCCTTTAACAACTTCTTCCTCAACAACATCGATCTCCTAGTGACGGTTCGAGGACTATCAGTGGCCCACGACAAGGATTCCCAAAATTTGCGAGGTCGATCGAGTTAGCAGAGGAAAGTACTCGAAATGACACGAAACATTTCTCCAAAATTGTCACTTTATCTCTCTAATTTGTAATGAAAAAAGAATCGTTCTTAAACTAAGGCTGGATATGCCAAATTTGGCTGAAAGCAAGTCAAAATCACGTTAGTGATTAGCGGTTTTTAATATGGTGAGTTAAGTGAAAGAAAGGTTGTTGGCTTCTGCCCCAGAATGTGTATGAACCTTCTTGAATGCGGCGGGAAATTTGCATATCGTTCAAGAATCGTGATGGCGTGATGGCCATAAAAATGTTTCAGCTCTCTAATTTGTTGAAACAATAATTCCTATTCCCATCTAATTTTTAGCCTTCGATTTTTTAAATTAAATTTTTACCAGATCGTTTCTTTGGAAATTATCCACTGAATGAAAATGAATTACAGCGTAATATTGCATCCAATGTATCAAAAACGATAAGAAATACAACGCTGCGTTAAGCCATGTTTCCACACAAATTACGCGGGATCTTGCCACGGATGTACTGACAGGGCACCCCAGTTAAGTGAATTCCTTTTACCTTTTTGTATTTTCGCCCTTTGTAAATACGTTTTTTAAGACAAGTAGATTCAACTGGTACTTAACTTTGAACTCTAGATCACATCGTACTATAAGGTCCAGTACTATGCACCGGTCAGCAGAATAACATAGCAAAGTTTTTACTAACAAAGAGAAATGCGTAAAAACGTGCGAGTACACTGCACTAATATCAAATAGTTAATTTAATTTTGCGTCGAGTTCGAGATTCTCTACGTCTTCGACCACACGTGCTGTGATGTGGAGGTGCACGAAGAGCGTGTCCGAAACGCAACAGAATCGCAGAAATGTAGGGGTTGGTGGGCTACTAAGAAACGTAACGATGGCCCGAAAGGCGACGGGTTTGACGCAATGTTTCCGAGTGATGCAAGGAAGTAACGTGTGTCCGGATGACATTCTCGCCGAGAGATAGTTTTTTGTAGCGCACGCCACCAAATTCTACATTTTTGTTGTAGATCGATGATGTGATCAACGCCAGTGAAATCGATTTATTCATATAGTGAACTTATTACTTATTGCTTACTATAGCCTGTATTATTTATTATTCATTGCTACCTTCATTATTACTGTTGTGTTTCACTATTTAGTTTAAAATCTGATGATCATTTTCTGTATATGGCAGTGAAACTGCCGTCGATTTACGCCGTTGAAATGTTTATAAATATATTACTACATATTAGAATAAATGGTACAAAGTGTAGGACTTGTAGAGGATCGAAAATGATCACTTTTTGCCAATGAATACATGGTGTGAAATTTCATACATCTATGTGCTGCACATGTGAATTTGCCCTTGAATATTAGGCTCCCCCCGGTTGGTGGGTTGATAGTGAA